AGCATGCACGAGGCAATGGGTTCGATCCTCAGCACCACATAAATGTAAAATAAAGATATTGTGTTAAAAAAAAATTGATGTGGCTGCATCACTGTAGTATGCTAATTTTAAGTTCTTTGGGTATAAACCAAGGAGTGGGATAGCTGGGTCAAAAGGTGGTTCCATTCCCAATATTCTGAGGAATCTCCATACTGTTTCCATAGTGGTTGCACCAATTTGCAGTCCCACCAGCAACGTATGAGTGTACCTTTTTCACCACATTCTCGCCAACATTTATTGTTGCCTGTATTCTTAATGATTGCCATTCTGACAGGAGATGAGATCTTAGAATAGTTTTGATTTGCGTTTCTCTAATTGCTAGAGATGTTGAACACTTTTTCATATATTTGTTGATCAATTGTATTTCTTCTGTGAAGTGTCTGTTCAGAAACAGTGTAATTTCTGTTCAAAGCATTATTTGTGTGTTATAACAGCATCAGTACATTTTATTTTTTATATTTGTCTGTCCTCCGGAATTTAACCTTCTAGGTTGAAATCATATTATGTTGATTGACTTAAATCTCTTGTCAAAAATGATTAATGAGGGGCTGGGGTTATAGCTCAGTAGTAGAGTGCTTGCCTTGCACGTGTGAGGCACTGGATTCAATCCTCAGCACCACATAAAAGTAAATAAAGTTAATATATTTAAAAAGAAAAAAAAATAGTTAATGACCTCATGGTCTCATAATGCCTGCTAGGAAGCATTCTGTCTGAGAGAGCTATTAGTTGTTAACTGGTACTAATTTAAGTGATATTACAAAGATTGACAAAGATAATTTGAAGTATATTTCTTGATGTAATCAGAAGAGGTCTTTCTTCACAAGTCAAGATTGGTAAGCAGGAAAATAAGTGATGGTATATAACAGATATGTTCAGCCTCAGAGTTGTCAGCATACTAGAAGCTTGGCATTAAGAGAACTCGGACGGTCTTGTCTTAACTTGTTTGAAGCTATGAACAAACATTTTGGCTCTAGTTGTCTCCTGCAAAGATTCTCAACCTATGACCCTCAAATAGATCTCTCTTTTCTAAAATTGTTTTTCTGCTGGGCATCTGCAGCAATTGGCATGAAGTGCTAGAGAGTTCATGTAGCACCAGGCTACTTTGCTGATGAAAACTTTGCCCGTGGTGCCTGCTATAAGTGAAATTAATTAGACTTGTGCTATCCTAGTCAATTTCCCTCCCAGCAGGTTGTATGGTTAGAGCTCCTGAGAGTCTTAAGACTGAGTCTTCAGTTCTACTAACTGCCGGGTTGTACATTTTTAAAAATTGGAAGATGGGTGGTGATACACACACACATGACTTGGCTGCAGCAGAGAAGATGGAGAAAAATAACTAAGACCAAACTAATATTTTTTTTCTTGGTTGTAGTAATAGACCAAGATTTTGTAGCAATAATTAATCTGGTTTTTAAATTTTGTCCTTTTCTTGTGCTTGAGAATTTCTAGATGATTAATTATCAGATAAATTTGAAGTTTACTTTTTTAACAAAAAACTTCAAATTAGAATTTTTATGATGGCTTAGTGTAGAGAGAGTGTGAAGCACACACCTCCAGAGCCAAATTTTATGCTAACTACTATGTAAAATTCACATCTCATTGCCACCTTACCCAAAAGTGGGACTTTTGAAATTTCATTCTGACCAGTAATGGTAACTGGGATTTGTAAAACTGCATAAGGTATATTTGCTTGTTACTGAACAAATAAGTAGTTCTGTGAGAATGTTTTCTTTCAAATGCAGGCTTACTTTGAAGGTGATCACAATAGTATTTAGTGTTTTGTTTTGTTTTTTATGGGGGATTGAACTAAGGGGTGCTTAACTGCTGAGCCACATCCCCAACAACATATAAAAGACAACAGTTGAGAGAAAAGGGAATAATTAAGCTATTAGAGTTGTTACAGAGTGAGTATATGATCATATATAAGATGTAAAATAATTAAACAGGCATATGAATCTGTAGTTCTAAGATATAAGTCACAGATTTGTCTTTGGGCTTCCTACTGGCCCAGTAAAGAGGGCAACATGATCAGTTATAATATTTAAGTTGTTTGTCCATAGTTGAAAACTAACCAGGTGTTCAGGAAAGAAAATTATCCCTTGGTTATTATAAATCAGACAATATCCTTAAACTGTTGTACAATACCCAAGTACCTGTCATCCCTAACAAATATTTGTATTCTCATATTTGCCTCATGTCATCCTTATTTTAAAACAAACATAACACAGTTGAAGTATCTTATATTCTCTTCCCAATCTTATTCTTTCTCTCCTGTGATCATAAAACTTATAACTTGTCAGTGTTGTTTTTTCTTTCTTTCTTTTTTTTCTTCTACTTCATGCATATATCTGTAATAGTACTTAAATCTTAAATTTGCATAAATAGTATACTGCACGGCACATGTCATTCCAGAACTTTCTTTTTTCATTAGTTCTGTGATATCCATGGTGCTATAGATCTAGTTTATTAATTACAAATCACGAAATAATAGTTTCCCATTATGTGGAAGTAATCTAATTTAATTATCTATTTCCCTACTAATGGATTTTTAGTTTGTCTAGTTTTTCACTATTAGAGTGTCATTTTGAACACTCCTGTCTATGTTTTCTTGTGCCTAAGCATAGAGTTTTCTAGGGCAGTGGTTCTCAAATGTGGCTCCAGAAGAAGCACATCAGGATCACCTGGGATCTTGTGTCCAGCCCAAACCTCTGAATCAGAAACTTTGGGGATGGGGCCAGCAATCTGTTTCAGAGGTGATTCTGAAGAGCTCCAAATTTGAGAACTAGTGCTCTAATGCATACACAGCTAAGAATGAGATTACTAAGGCTTAGGGTACATATTCTTTAAATTTTGCTGGATATGGCCAGATTCCCATATGTAGTATAGTTACTGCTTTGCAGCCTTACCAATAGTTTATGAAAGTTCCTATTTTCTCATTCATACTATGGTTAAATATTTTTTTCTTACTGGTCTAGGAGATATAAAATGTTTAAGAGATATTTTCTTTTTTCTTTCTTTTATTGTTAGTGATAACTTGTACAGGATAGTTGCCCTTTTTCTTATTGACTTTTGTATGAACAATTTATAATTAATTTTTATATATTAATAAAATTATTAATATATGCATTACAAGATTTTTTTCCTTTCCTTCTGTTTTGACTTTGTTTATGTTACTTAAAAATTGTTGCCAAGCTGGGCACAGTGGTACACGCATGTAATCCCAGCAGCTCGAGAGGATGAAGCAGGAGGATCATGAGTTCAAAGCCAGCCTCAGCAAAAGCAAGGTGCTAAGCAATTCAGTGAGACCCTGTCTCTAAATAAAATACAAAATAGGGCTGGGGATGTGGCTCAGTAGTCAAGTGCCTCCTGAGTTCAGTCCCTGGTACGCCTCCCCCAAAAATTCACCAGTTTTAAAATCATATGTATTTAAGGTATGCAACCTAGTATTTTGATATGTATATGCATAGTGAAATGATTACTTCAGTCAAGCCAATTAACTTATTGCCCACATGTGTACATGTGAAAAAAGCACACGAAGTCTACCCTCTTAGCAAATTTCCAGTATAGAATACAATACAGAATATATTACAATTAACTGTAGTCTTTATGTTGTTAGATCTTTAGACTTACTCAGCCTACCTATGTGCAACTTTGTACCCTTTGACCTATATTTCCTTATTCCCTCCTGCCCAAAATTCACCAATTTTTTTTAATGTCCTTTGTATTTAGAAAGGCCTTATAGAGAAGTTTAAGTTGGATTTGCTTTGCTGCTGGAATACTATCCCACTGAGACATATAGCAGTTATTTGAAAATAGGCTGGGGCTGGGGCTGGGGCTCAGTGGCAGAGTGCTTGCTAGCATGTGTAAGGGACTGCATTGGATCCTCAGCACCACATAAAAGTAAATAAATACAATGGAGGTATTGTGTCCATCTACAACTTAAAAAAAAAATAGACTGGGATTTATGAGAGAGGTAAGACTTAGAGAGATTTGGGAAACATTTGTGTAAGGCCAATAAATTGACACTGTTAAGATGGATAAAATTGCCATAAAGACAATGTAGATTGAGAAAATGGTCAAGGATTAAAGGGGAAGCAACAATACAGGAAGAGAATCCAAGAGATTTGAGGAATGATCAACAACAGAAGGATCTAGAAAATCAGATGGTAACAAATTGTGAGGAGATATTCTCTAATGCCCCTTAGAGAAAGGAGCACATTTAAGAAAGGTGTAAAAATGTTGCCTTTAAGAATGCAGCTAGCAGGCTGGGATTGTGGCTCAGTGGCAGAGCACTCCCCTAGCATGCAAGAGGCCCTGAGTTTAATCCTCAGCACCACATAAAAATACATAAAATAAAATAAAATAAAAGGTATTGTGTCCAACTACAACTAAAAATAAAATAAAAAGAATGCAGCTAGCAAAGCTTTGAGGAGTAAAAGATTTCTACTACTTTAGCAGCAAGTATAAGAGATGACGCAAAGTTAGAGCAATATTGCTGGGGATGTAGCTTAGTTGGTAAAGTGCTTGCCTGGCATGTACTAGGCCTTGTGGGGTGGGGTAGAGGGGTAACAAGGTCATTTTGTGTTAGGAGAGGAACATTTGTGCCCTTAGGGAAGGAGCCAGTGGCAAGTTGGGAAGTATGAAGTTGCATCTGGTAATCTTGCTGGCTCCTTTGCAGGCAGCCTTTTCATAGATGTTCTTTATCTACGCTTTGAATAAGATCATTTGGTAAGATAATATTGAGCACTGTGCAAGGGTTAAGATAGGCTGCTATAACTGAGTAGGAGACTACTTTAGGTGGTCTTCTCTGAAGTAAATATTAAATTTGAGACCTAAGTGGTAAGGAACCATGTGAATGGTCAGGATAAAGCTTTCCAGACAAACCACAAAATTTCCAGTCTCTAGAAGATCAAACAAAGAATAGTAAACCAATCTAATAAATATTGTTTGTTGGATTCAACCAGAGTGAAGAAAGAACAGAAATCTTTGTCCCCTGACTTTGGAAACCTTGTTTAACCTTCAAACTGGCGATGTCAAGGGTTCCAAGTCCTCCACCTCCGGCAGAAATGTCGAGTGGCCCTGTAGCTGAGAGCTGGTGCTACACTCAGGTAATTTCTTGATTCACCCTGTAAATCTTGCATCTTGGGAGGATTTGATGAACAAATATTCTTTTTGCTTTTCTATGTTGTGTTTCCTGCTTTCTCTGGAACATTTAAAGTGCTTGTCAACCTTGCATTCTTTTCTTGGTTTTTCACATGGAATCTGAATCTCCAAGACTAGTGTTTTTCGATGGTGGTTGAAAGTGGGAATCTTAGAAACTAGATTTGTTTATATCCCCTTGATGGAAATATGCACTAAGGCTCCCCTGCTGGAGGATCCATGTCTGAGATTTGCAACCCCAGGTAGTGTTCTCAACATCTCAATTGGAGACTCATTTTAGGTCTGGTATTATCATCTGCTTTCCCAGCCCTGGTTTGATACTGGTCCCTCTGCTCCATGTTTTTTCACTTTCCATACAGTGTTTCTCAGAAACTCAAAAAGTTATGAAAAGCAATTGGTCAGTGTGAGATTTTTTAAAAATGAGGGAACTGAAGCAAGAAAACGCTGAACCTCCATGCTAGCTCAGCCATGCTAGCGGGCGGGCATCACGTAGAGAGAGGGAGGAGGGAAAATGTTTATCTGATCTTCAGCCTTTTTTTTTTTTCCACTTCCTATTTAATTGCTTTCCTGATTTTCTATCAACAGATCAAGGTAGTGAAATTCTCCTACATGTGGACCATTAATAACTTTAGCTTTTGCCGGGAAGAAATGGGTGAAGTCATTAAAAGTTCAACCTTTTCATCAGGAGCCAATGATAAACTGAAATGGTGAGGAAGAATACCTCTACCTGTAAAATTTTTTCCCCTAAGTTGCCTATTTTGCTTGGTTTTATGGGACACTGATTAGAATGTAAGTTCTTTTTTTTTTTTTTTTAATATTTGTTAGTTGTAGTTGGACACAATATCTTTAGTTTACTTATTCATTTTTATGTGGTTCTGAGGCTCAAACACAGGGCCTCACACATGCTAGGTGAGTGCTCTTTCGCTGAGCTTTTACAATCCCAGCCCTAGAATGTTAAGTTCTTGAAAGCAGGGACTTTGTTTTGTTTTTACTATGTCCCCAGTGCTTAGAACAGTGCCTAGCAAACAATAGGTGATCACAAAAATTTGATTAATTCATTGAATTTATCAGAGATCAGTAAACTCAAGCTGTAGGGTAATACAAATGAATAAAGAGGACCAATGTTAAAAATGATATCCATACATGGTATGAGTAGTAACTACTTGGCAATCAAGTAGGTATCCTTATAAAAGGAGCAGAGGCTACTCAACTCAGCCAACCATAGCTATCTGAATAAGGGCTGACTATCACCAGATTTTCTGGTTTTCTAAGAAAAGCTAGAAATCTAGCTTAAACAAAAAATTTTGACTTTTTAATTGCTTATTTTTAAGCAGTAAAGGGGGGAGGTTATTTGCCTGTGGACTGGACTGACCAGGTTGTAGGATGGAATTTAGCCAGCAGGCTAGTGGTTAGAGTAAGGACCCATCTCTCTCTTCTCAGCCTGCTCTCCATGCTAGCTTTCCTTGTGCTTAAAGGCTGACTAGTAGTAGCAATGGACATAACCCACTATATGCCAAGAATATGTCACAGTAGCATTGAATGGATGAGGTCTGAGTTCTCTAAACTAATCCCTATGGCAAGGGCAACGTGATCTGGGAGTGGGGATCAGTCATCATCAACTGTACAATGTTATTTATGTAACTGGACTGAACTGATTTTTCAAGGTTGTTGGCATCTCAGCTTTACCCTTGTTACTGTTCATAAGAACAAAGATGGTGTGCTGTCTTAGTATACATCAACATTGCTTGGGTCAAAATTCTGGCTTTTTCACTATGGATTTTTCAAATAGCATTTCAAAAATCAAAATCATGTGTCATCTTAAAGAGGAGCAGGCACTTAAGGATATACCCATATGCCCATTACAAAGACCAAATATATCTCTGAACCAGTTTGGAACTCTTTGACAACCAACTGAAGAGTTGTTTATTCATTTATTTAGCTGTGTACATTAAGCAGTGGGCCACTAGGTATTGAGAGAGCTGTTTATTCTTAGGCATTATATTTAAATTCATATCTGTAGCATATTATATAGTGATATATGTGGCATCTCTACTCCCTAGAGAAGCACTGGATTGGGCCACCTGTTTAAGAGAGGTGTCATAATACTGGCAAGGCCTAAGGATACATATGGCCTATGTATTCTATGTGATAGAAGCAGTGTCTGAACCACATGCAGTTCAGCTAATGACATTTACAACTTAACTCACTTGAACCTATTCAGTTCTGCTTAAATTTTATTTTGATCCATCCATAACAGATTGGTGTCTCTAACTATTTAGAAGCCTAGTTTGCAACCCTACCGTGTATAATGGGGATTTACTTTTGTCTGTGCTTCTTCCATACTTCCTTCTTTATTTTCAGAATATTATTGCCAGATTGATAAAATAATCTGTAAAAGATTAGGTACCATTTGCATATTCTCTAGAATACTTTTTCTCTTCCACAGTGATATTAAAGGGTTCATTGGGTTTTGTTTTGTTTTTTGTTTCTCTGTTGTCTTAACAAAATTAAGGGCTGCTGTTCCTGAGATTGAGGATTGGAAAATAACAAGACTAGGCTGAATTTTAAAATGTTTTAGGGTGAAAAAGATGAAAGCCCCTTTATTTTTGTTGTTTACTTTTAAACAGGTTCACCCCCCTTCAAGAAAGGGGTTCAAGAAAGCCCCTTTATTTTTATTGTTTACTTTTAAAAGGTGACCCAAATTGCTCTAGAAAGGTGGTTCCCAAGTAGTAATTCTACTGAATCATAATCTGATATGAGGCCTAGACTTTTCTTTAAATATCTCCCTCTTGATTCTGATGTTCTATTCTGTTACTTCACAAGCATTTAAGGATACTTTTGACACCTTTTTTTTTTTCTTTTCCTGTTTTGGCAAGGTGTTTGCGAGTAAACCCAAAAGGGCTAGACGAAGAAAGCAAAGATTACCTGTCACTTTACCTGTTACTGGTCAGCTGTCCAAAGAGTGAAGTTCGGGCAAAATTCAAATTCTCCATCCTGAATGCTAAGGGAGAAGAAACCAAAGCTATGGGTAAATGTTCTTTTTGTTCAATTCTCACATCCAGTATATTCATACACTGACTGGTTTTTGATAACCCTAAATATGACTTTTTTTTTCCCATCCTAGAGAGTCAACGAGCTTATAGGTTTGTGCAAGGCAAGGACTGGGGATTCAAAAAATTCATCCGTAGAGATTTTCTTTTGGATGAGGCTAACGGGCTTCTCCCTGATGACAAGCTTACCCTCTTTTGTGAGGTGAGTCCTTTTACCCTGCTTGAGACTGTCCGTTCCCAGACTTCTTGGGCATTTGTGACTTGAATTGTATCAAGAATGTGGAATGAGAAAAATTCCCAAGTGGAGTAGTACTGTACAAATGTTATTTATGTGACTGGACTGAACTGCCTCATGATTTCAAGGCTGTTGGCATCTCAGCTTTACCCTTGTTACTGTTCATAAGAACAAACATGGTGTGCTGTCTTAGTATACATCAACATTAAGTTGCTTGGGTGAAGATTCTGGCTTTTTCACTGTGGATTTTTAAGATAGCATTTGGAAGGGCTATCATTTCAAGCTGAGGGGGGTGACCAGCAATAAAAGTATGTGTCTGTTCCTTTAACTTCCTGGCTCCTCCCTGAGTGAGAAGTCCCTGTATATTTGACAGTGCATTACTTTCCCTTTCTGCTGTTTGAATTAGGTGACTCCCATTGGGTTGTATGCCTATGGTTTGTCTTGCTGGAGTCACTGTGAAATAGAATAGTGGAAGCCACTTTTCCCAGGGTAAAGCTTGCTTACTCAGAGAGAGCTACCTGTAGTCAGGTAACTTTTTCTCACCAAGAACCGAAGAACCTTTTCAGATTTATAGAGGAACCTGTGAAGTAAAATTCCCAAACCAAGAGAAGCTGGTTTCTTTAATGAGTATTGTTTATTCTAATTAGTCATTTCAAGTTGTTTTCCATATATTCAGAAATGCTCACAAACTCATATTGAACTCCAGTTCAACTAGGACATTAACATTCCTGTGTATCATATGGTCTGGGAACCACTTCCTGAGCAGCACCACTTGATAAGAACAACCACTGTATCTTCATGGGGGAGGGTGCAGGCAAACTCCCAACTGCCAAATCCATCTGTCAAATAAGGGGCTCATACCGTGGGTTAATGACAGTTCCAAAGGCATATCACCACCATGTGTCAGGAAAAGTTATCCCTTAGGAATCTTGCCCTTTTGCCAGAGAAGCCTGGCCAGCAATAGCAGGCTTCTGTATTTCAACAGAATGGTTGCTAATGATTAAAAAACTTTGCAGGCATGGTTTATTAAAATACTACACTGAATACGTAAAATAGAGTTTGTATAATAGCTGCTTCGTCTCCATTTTAATTGCTAAGTAAAAGAAATATTAGAGTGATAGCATCTATATAAATATGTAAAATGTGGCAGTTGTTTTATGACTGAACTTGAAATTTGAATTCCATATAAGGTCCTATTGGTCACAGATCCTACTCAGTTGTCTGAGTGAAGAAATGAGAACAATTAGGTGTGAGGTTAGATGTTATATATACAGAGCATCAGTTTTAATCTTTACCTATCTTAGAGTCTTGTATTTCAAGAAAACTTTAAAATAGTGAAGAAGTCTAATTTTGTTGGAACCAAAAGCCAATCTTCAAACCATTCTCTGAAGAAAATCTCTACATATTGCATCTGTCATTTAAGGCAGAGCCATCACCTTTATTGCAGCATTTCCAAGTCCACAGTGCATCCAGATCCAGCCTTTTCTCACATTGCTTCCTCCGCTTTCCCCAGTCCATTCCAGCTGCTCCAACCCCTGTATTGACATTCTTGATTTGAAAACCCGTTGGCCTGCCCTCACTTGGCAATCTCTCATCCTATGGTTAAGTCTGAGGCTGTGTTCCAGCACTCACTCTCTTCACATCTCCATATGAAATTCTCTTAGGAGAAATCCTGTGGTTAAGTTTAGATTTGCCTTACTGACTTAGAAGGGAAGTGAGATGACACTTTGGAAACGAGGAGATGTTGAACAGGGAAGCGTCTGCTGGGTTCTGCTGATGCCATCGGTTTCTTACCATCGAACCAGGTGTGCCATCTGTTCCTCTCACACTTCTCTGTTGGCCACAGGTGCTGAGTGTTGCTTCTCATACTTGGGCTTGTGCCTAGTGAGACTCGTTTCTGTTCCAAGGCTCTCTGTGGACTTAGTAGCATTCAGCATTGCAAGACGGTTGAGTAGGCGTGTATATTGGATGTGTGGGTTTTAAAAATGTCTGCAACTCATCTAAGTTCTTAGCATTTTTCATAGCTCAATCATTTTTGGTGCAAGTTTTATCCCTTTGACCTGTCATTTACTTTAGGCCTAATTAGTATTTTCTTACTATCTAGAGACCTTTATGAAGGTGATAGCTGCATGGAAATTTAGATTATAAGTGCCCACTATGAGCCATTCCTCCCTTGGCCCCTGGCCCTCCTGTGCTGTCCTGATGAAGGAAGTGCAGTTGTTTCAAGGACTTTTTGCTGCTCCCAAAGGCCCAAAGAAGGAATCCTAAGGTGAAAGACTGAGGATCACACTTTTGTGTACTTGGCCATTATTTTAGTATTTATTGTTACTGAATGTTTAAATTAAATTAGATTATAATTAGAAAATGCCAAATGAGTGGTCTTGTTTGTAATGTGCCACATTAGGTTCACTTCCAGTTTTCAGTGATGCTTTGTCTATTAGGAAATGTGGCAATTCTTCCAAGTTGATTTTTCTTAATTAACTTATTTAAAAGCATTATTTGAATTGTCCCCTTATTGCAGTCCTTTGAGCTGAGTCAAATTCTGTTTTCTTCATTTCATTTATAGGGGGAGAAGCAGTGTCTCAAGAGGTCAGGTAATTTTTCCTAACATTGTGCAACAAATTAATGTCAGGGCCATGTCAGCTCTGCAGTTCCCATCTCTAGTCGGCTGCACTACGCTAAGTGGAGCTGAACTTCATTTACCTCTGGAAGCATGGGCGGTCCCAAGTTTTCTTGACAGAGAGTATTTACTTTTGGTAATGAAAGAAAGACATGAAAGCATGCTTAAATTACACTTTTAATTTTCTCTTTAATAATTTGGACCACAGAAAATCTTCATGAAATTTTTCAGTTCTCTGTCTAGCTATTTATGTTGAAAACAAATGGCTGTTTGCAATAAAGATGCAACATATTCCCCCTTAATTGTACATGCCTTTGACAAACAGAAGATTCTAGTGCCTCTTTGTGATGTTGCAATTAAAAATGAAAAGGAAACACCATTTGAAATATGAAGTACCAAGTATCCAGATACTGGTTAACTCTTTCAAAACATCCCATATAGCAGCTGAGCTTGGTGGCACACACCTACAATCCCAGCTACTCCAGTCTGAGGCAGGAGGATCTCAAATTCTAAGCCAGATTGGGCAACATAGCAAAAGCCTATCACAATATATTTTTTCTTAATTTTTAAAAATCCCATCCATTCCATGATTGTTCTTGACCTACAGAAATGTTGATTTAATATGTAAAATCATTATAATTTATAATACATGATGATGTAGTAAACCCTACCACCCAACCTCTCCCTGAGATTGATCTCCCTACTCAGAATGAGAAACAGCTATTTTGAATTTTATGATAATCATTCCCTTGTTTATTATTTGTATTCATGAATAATATATTGTTTAGGTTTGGCTTATTTTTGATCTTTATAAAAATGATGTCATACTATATTTATTCATCCTCTTATTGATCGCATTTATGTTGTTGCTAGTCTTTTGCTGTGAGAAATATTGCTACTATATAAACATTTTGTATGCAGTATCTGTTTATTTTTCCAATTCTTTTAATTGTATAGAATTTAAAAAACCTATTTCCATGGGTTTTACTTTGACTTTATGTATAGATGAAGTGTATAAGAATTGGCACATCTTTAGTCTTTTATGAAATTTTCTTTTTTAAGAAAAGGAACTGACTTTAAAAGTGAGACCCTTTTACAACTTGAAATTTAGGGGATCATACAGTCTTCCTGAGACATTTTCATGCATTCATTTATAAGATGACATAAATGTCACAGTCACGTCATCTTCACAGCTGCAATTCTGAATGAGTCTCTATAGTCAACTTTATAGGCATTAAAAAAAATCTTTAGTTTTTCTCAAAATGGTCTCATTTTAGCATCATCATGTTTGCAGAGAAAAACAATTCCTTTCTAAGTTAAAAGTTTGGGCTCTGACGACTCATTTGTGAGTGCCATTTAAAATTTATTTTTAATTAAGCGTATTTAATGTCGGTAAGAGGTGCCAGACATTCAGAGCTCTGGAGACTCCAAGCATCTATATATCTACAGAACAAGCCTAGCCCAGACAGTACAGGTACATTCTCCTTCCTGCTGTTTTGTTTTTTTTTCTTTCTGTGTCCAGAGAAAGGAATTGTTCCAGTGAGAGGTGTCACAGTCTTTGGGCCCCACTCATTACCAAACATATATCTAACCAAGAACATCCAACCATAGTTGATGAGAAATTCAGCTTAGCTTTTGCCAATTCATTTTACCCAGTCTACTAAATTGCCATCAAGTGTTAATGACTTTGGGCTCCTGTCAGCCTGGTTTAATTCAAGCTAGGAACACAGTGCCAAAAGCATTCTCCATTCCCTTCATTGGCCATCCCCAGAGATTCCTGCCTTTCCCTCTGAGGAAGTTGTATTTAATTTGTCTTTCCTTTTCCTTTTCCTTTTTTTTTTTTGGTTTTGTTTTGTTATAAATCAGTATTTTAGATCCATGACTGGGAATAGGCAACTTCTACTTTTGGTGTTAATAATATGAGAAAATAGCTGAACTAAGAAATCTTACATAGGACAAGAGAGAATCTCTGTGGGGTGATTTGTGCTGGATCCCAGACTGTTAAAATAATGTTATAATCTACCTCTGATAAATGTGATACTAATGCTAAACACATTCATAACTGATTAATTTGACCATTTCATTGCTCAAGACCATAACATCTAGTTTTAAACAAATGAATAATAACTTTCTCGACTTGATAGTAAATATCTCACTCTGGGAAGGCATCTGTGCTCATCAGTATATCATCAATGCACTTTAATATCTCACTTGATATAGAAGGGACTAAGGTCATTTGGATGGGGCATTAACTTTGCCTCCAGGTTTATGACTGTGACTAAGGGATGACTTGCATCTTGAAGGTTAAAAAAAATCTGGGTCATTAAGGATGTTCCTCAGCTGTCTTTCTCATCTGACCATTAGAAATAGCAGTAGTTGGGAGCTAATTCTCAAGGTTTGCAAGTTCTGTTTAGATTTAACTTTTTAACCCTAATGTGATGTAGGAGACAGAGCATGACAATCATTGTTAGGTGGATGACTGCTGTGCAGCATCTTTTCTTTTCTTTGGTAACTGACATTTATTTTATAATGTTATGTGATTTATTAACTCCTTAACTTGGTACCCCCACAGATTTTTCTGAATTTCACTGATTGAACTAGAAGTTGGCTTGGTTTCTACCTAGGCCTGAACAGTTAATTCAGCTGGATAAAACTGCTACCACTGAAGTCATGGTGGGAAGTTGGATCCCTCTGTGAAAGTGGAGTTGAGTTGTCATTCTATTCCAAAGCTATAAGTGCATGTATAGCTATGGCCAGCCATCGTGTATGTCATTGTCTCAAATGACTGAATATAGAGATGTTAAAATGTGGGATATGCACCCATTTATTCCTACCAGAAAGATCTTCTAAGACCTGTCCTTAGTGGTAGTGGGTCAGCAATGTTGATTAAACTATCATTTTTGAGGAAGTACCAGTTAATCACTAGGCCCCTTAGAAACTGCACTTCAGCTGGGTGTAATGGTACATGCCTATAATTCCAGAAACTAAGGAGGCTGAGGTAGGAGGATCACAAGTTCAAGGCCAGCACTTAGCAAGACCCTCAATAACTTAGACCTTGTCTCAATAAAATAAAATAAAACAAAATAAAACAATAAAAAGGACTGGGATTGTAGCTCAACGGTAAAAGCACCCCTGGGTTCAATTCCCAACAGCCCCAGAAAAGAAGCTGCACTTTATTTTCATGTTCCAGACTTAACTAAAAAAAATGAAGTACCTTTAGATTTAAGTTACTAGATTCTTGGGCTGGGGTTGTAGCTTAGTGATTGAGCTCTTGCCTAGCATGTGTGAGGCACTGGGTTTGATTTATAAATAAATAAAATAAAGGTCCATCAACAACTAAAAAAATATTTTTTTTAAAAAGTTACTAGGTTTTTTTCTCTATAGTGTTTTAAGTGTTAGTTTCTATATGAATTCCTTGTATTTAATGTTTTGTCTATGACAGGATTAAATAAATACTTGAAGTTTAACATTTATTTCTGTCAGTTTTTCCCCCTGGAAGCTTTGCCCAGGTTTGAGTGCAGGGGAGGTGGAGCATATTAGAAATTGGAGAAGGAGATTTGTGGGGCTCTCTTGCCATTGCCCTGAGATGGTTTAAAATAAGTATGATTGTGATAAATAGAAAATTACTTGATCAGAGGATAAAGCCTTGCTTTGTGCAGGTGGTTTCAAGAGACTATGACTGAATGTTCTATGGCAATGAGGTCAAAACCTGTCTCTACTGCTGGAAAGAAAATACCTGGTAACAAAAACCTTGGATTGTGTTTTCTTGTATTTCACAGGTGAGTGTGGTACAAGATTCCATAAACATTTCTGGCCAGAATACCATGAATATGGTGAAGGTTCCTGAATGCCGGTTGGCAGATGAGTTAGGAGGGCTGTGGGAGAATTCCCGGTTCACAGACTGCTGCCTGTGTGTTGCTGGCCAAGAGTTCCAGGCTCACAAAGCTATCTTAGCAGGTAGGTATTTATTTATGGGTTGTTTTATAGTTTTGGTGAAATAAACAGTGACTGCGTAATCTCCTTTTGAACAACTTCAACTTTTTAAACTGAGCTACAAAAAGACCTGCAGATAAATACACTTTTATATTATGACATTAGCTCTCATAACCAAAAGACTGATATCCATAAAAAAATGGCATTTCTGTTTTTCCTCTCTGTAGTGGACTTAGGCCACCATTTTCAAGGAGTAAAAAATGATGTGCAAAGGTTTTGAATGCATTCGCACCAAGAGTAGTGTCAGGATACTTGTTAGGAGCTGGTATCAGCTCCTAGATAGGGTTCAGATATAAAAGAGAGGATTTTGTACTCAGGATAAATACCATCTGGCTGAGTCCCAATCCTAGAGGGCCTAGCCCTCACTTTGATATAAACATATGAGAGTGACGTGATTGTCCCTGACACGGAGGGTCAAGTCTCCATCTAATAGGTCTTTTGCCTGTAAGACAAGAAACACTGACCCAAAAGAGGAACTGACCAGAGAGGACTGATTTCACCACACAAGAAAGAGTAGCAGACAGCCACACACATTTCTCTTCAGATCATAAGATCTGTGAGGAGATAACATGAATTTTAAGGCAAAATGCTTCTTAGGATACTCAGCTTCCTCGTTCTAAAGTACAAACCTGGCAAAGCATAATCTACCTAGTCTAACATCTTCCCATTCCCTGTTTCTACTCGACATCTACTAACATTAAAAAATGTTGTTAACTCTTAGGTTAGTAACATATCTGCATGCCTAGCAAGGCCCTCAACACTGCCAAAATGTCTTTCTATAGATGCAGAATTTGTTCCCTTTATTTCTTTCAACAATAGATATTTTAGCCACTCTCCTTTAGCCTCCAGCTCCTGTAAGATGTCCTTGCCTACTTCTTCCAAGAGAATATTGAAACCCTTTTACAGGAACACCCTTGACTCTTGCCTCTCGCCTACATTCTCAGGGGCAGAGGAGTTCCGCTTCAGGTGGAGAGCAGACTGTTTCTTTCTACTTCTTCTCTGTTCAGATCCTATTTTGCCTTCCCAGAAACCTTACTCTAGCAGTTATGCATATATATATATTCTCATTCTCTCCCCCCACCCCAAAGCTGAATTTCTTGAGTTAGCACATCCATTCTCTACTTCATTCTTCCCGCTTATCCTCAGTTCACCTCCAGGCTATGAAAGCAGTTTTCCAAAGTTATATGTATGACCTGCTTGTTCCTAAATTTGAGAGACTCTTCAGTTCATATATTACATGATTCCTTTCTTTGGTTTTCTTCTTCTGGTTTTCTAGCTGCTTCTAATGTGTGACCTCCCTCTTTTTCAACCATTCCATCAAATATTGGTGAGGTTTAAAGGTGTGCTTCAGTTAGTTTTTACTTGACTCTCCTTGGATGATTTTATGTATTCCCATCGCTTGAGCTGCTGTCTGCCTACGCTAAGACATAGCTACTGCTATGGACCCCTCTCTGTTTTTTAAAATCATTAGTTCTTTAATCTTCAACTGTAATGTTTATTAGTACCTGTAGTCTATAAGTCTTCTGATAAGAACAGTGAGAATTGCTGTGTTTTTGGTATAGATTAAAATATTGAGGTTCAGAGCGTTAAGTGATTTCCCTAGAAAATGGTGAAGGCTATACATCCTGGGAACAAATTTTTACCCCTCACACATCAGATAGAGCTCTAATCTCTAAGGTATATAAAGAGCTCAACAAGATAAGCATCCCCCCAAAAATGATAATCCAATCAATAAATGGGCCAAAGATCTGAACAGACACTTCTCAGAAGAGGATATACAGTCAATCAACAAATATACGAAAAAATCCTCATCATCTCTAGCAATCAGAGAAATGCAAATTAAAACTACTCCAAGATATCATCTCACTCCAGTAAGAGTGGCAGCCATTATGAAGACAAACAACAACAACAAGTGCTGGCGAGTACACTGCTGATAGGACTGCAAATTGGTACAGCCAATTTGGAAAGCAGTATGGAGATTCCTTGGAAAACTGGGAATGGAACCACCATTTGACCCAGCTATTCTTCTTCTTGGACTATACCCAAAGGACCTAAAAATAGCGTATTACAGGTACACAGCCACATCAATGTTTATAGCAGCACGATTCACAATAGCTAAACTGTGGGACCAACCTAGATGTCCTTCAGTGGATGAATGGATTAAAAAATGTGGCATTTATACACAATGGAATATTACTTAGCAATAAAAAAGAATAAGATTATGGCATTTGCAGGGAAATGGATGGCATTAGAGAAGATTATGCTAAGTGAAGTTAGCCAATCCCAAAATCAAATGCCGAATGTCTTCTCTGATATAAGGGGGGTGACTCAAAATGGGGTTGGGAGGGAGAGCAAGGAGGAAGATTACCTCTAGATAGGGAATAGAGGTGGGAGGGAAAGGAAGGGAGAAGGGGAATAGCATGGATGGTGAAAGGAGACCTTCATCATTATACAAGATACATGTATGAAGATGTGAATTTGGTGTCAATATACCTTACATATAATCAGAGATATGATAAATTATGGTCTAATGATGTATTAAGAATTGTAATACAAAAATAAATAAATAAAAAAATGATCAGAAATGTTTTGAAGCCAAAAGTAAAAAAAAGAAAGAAAGAAAATGGTGAAAGCTAAAATTAGTTCTTCCTGACAAAAACTATAGACCAAAAGTTCCCGTTCCCTGCTAGCTCAAAGGCCTCCTACATGAGCCATCTGTTCTTTCACTCTTAAGTAGTGATTGGTAGTCTCAACTTTGACCCATACCCCCAGTTGATTTGGAAACATGAAAATTTTGGGTTCTTAGCCATTTTATCATTGAAATTAAATTTATTTTTCATGCTGTTCATTAAACTAGAATGTGCATGGGGTAGAGAATTGTTTTTCAACCTCTTTCATTAACCCTACTCCTAAGGAGAAAAACTAAATTTAAATTCTCCCTAATGAGAGAAATTAAATATGAAAAAAAAGGTCATTTTATCAGGTAGAGTATGCTTTTGAAGGGCCATGAACCACTGTGCTATATGAAGCTTTTTTTTTTTAACTTCTTTTGAATGGGGGATATCTCTGTTAAGAATGCATAGCTTGGAAGAAGACATAAATGAACATGTACTTCATCTGGTTGGTGCATGCTACTGAGCCCAGCTCTTGACTTTCTTGCTGTGTGGTCCCTAGAAGTAGAGAAAAGTACAGAGTCATTGTTTTAGTCCAAAACCTAGGTGTGGGACTGCCTGTTGGACCATGAGGGACCTTCCATTTGTACCCTCCAGATCTGTACAAAGGACATAGCATTGTCATCCAACAAAAGTAACTGTGGAATAATTTCCTTAAAATATGGATGTTTGGAATATTAAGAAAGAAAGTTTATAATTATGAAGAAAGGTATTTTATAATTCTGGTATAATTTGAGGCTGAGTCCCTTTTCTATAGTAATGGAACCAGAAGGAAAATGATCTCTTGTCATAACTGGAGAGAACCAAGAAATTTTCATGGGATAACTTATATTTGTTCCCCTTTCACTTTGTAGCACGTTCTCCAGTTTTTAGTGCCATGTTTGAACATGAAATGGAGGAGAGCAAAAAGGTATGTTAACAGGACGGAAAAGTATGTTATCCAGGTGATTTATTTTCCTATATACATTTTTTCTTGCTATTTTATTAAAATGGAACACAACTCCCTGAACAGACACCTTCTGAGAGCAGAGTGAGGTGGTCTGTTAGTATTCCAGGTAAAGTGGACTCATTTAATCCCCAGGCAGATCATGTAAACAGTTTTGGGTGAGGTGTGTTTCTACTCATAGTACTCAGGAAAATCAAGGTGGAAAGTCAAAGATACAGTTGTTTTACTACTGTATTTGAGAAAACAAAGGTGGTACACAGGATGGGAGAAAAACTATTACAGTTGTAGGACAGGGAGACATTTTCTGTTCATGCTAGGTTTAAAATGATACAAGAGTCTCTCTTCAGTAAAGTTTAAAATCATGAAAATAGTCTAGGAAATTTTTTCTGTTGGAGTGTTTCTCATTTTCTATTTTTCTGACATAGAATCGGGTTGAAATCAATGACGTGGAGCCTGAAGTTTTTAAGGAGATGATGTGCTTCATTTACACGGGGAAGGCTCCAAATCTCGACAAAATGGCTGATGATCTTCTGGCAGCTGCTGACAAGGTGAGATAAGAATAGAAAAATGACTATAGGACTTAGGAATTATTGTGACCTGTTGAGTTCTGTAAATAGGCTTCTGTGTTGCACTGTGGGTAAAATAGACATCTATCCTAGCTTGGCCAGGACAATCTGGTTTATATATGTTTCTTCAAGGCAATTAATAGTATCCTTTTTGTTCTCAAAAGCATACTGCCTTGAATGGTGAACTGTAGGGTCACCTCAGCCTACAGAAAAGAAGGATAAGTTCAAGATTTACCTCTCTTCTTTTCCCTACCTCAAATTTCAACCGCATTGAGAGTTATGTTTCATACTAACATTTGAACTGTGCTTTATAATTTACAAGATGTTTTACAATTCATTGTTATTTAAACTTTGTCAATGAGAAAATAGTCTTTCACTGTTGAGCATTTTCAGCTTAGTTAAGTAGGTATTAAATTGAAGGTATATTGAAGTATACCTTCAAAATTATAAGACAGTTAATAGCTTTTGGGGACAAAAGAGATACTGAACTTATCTAAATCAGATAGTTTCCATTTTGCTGTAGGATTTCTCAGAACCTGTGACGTGTTAGTGTATACTACAAATTTTCTGAAAAAGAGTATGATAGACAGCATTTCTCCAGTTTAGTTAGCCCTGTCTCAAGGGTCACCTCCGAGGATTAGTGGTCCCTAAAACATACCGAGAAGCTGATTTTCACTGGGTGTGTACATCAGATGAAGCTCAGTGGCTGGCCGGCCCACCCAGGCCCTGGATACTGTGGAAATGCCACCTATAGGGCAAAGCAGAAGGATCAATATTTGCCCTGTGGAAGCTTCTCTTGTGTAGAGGGTAGAAGTGGTTGATGTGACTGAGCTAAAAGGGCTTCTGACCCCAACAGAGAAAGAGGGTGTTCTGTCTGAATTGCCCCTCTTCCTGCTGTGAGTCTAGAACACCCGTCTGAGGGGGAAGTGGGCTTCAGCTGAAGGGTCCAAGAGCTTTCCCAAGATTCATTCAGGGAGATAATGTTCCTTTACACCTGAGGACAAAGGAAGGTGCCTGGGTTTTCAGTGGAGGTTTTCTCTTTATTGATCAGCTTTTTTGAAATGTTTATAGAGGGTGAGGCATGTGGATCCAGTCAATGCTCCTGATAAGAGATTGGAATAATAACTGTATCCTTCTTATCACCTCTGAAGATTTTATTAGTACAATTAGCAATGTAAAAATTACAAACTCTTCAAGTATACCTCAGTTCTGACCAGGGAAAACTTGCTTTCAATGGAGACAGCAAAATTATATTCATTGCCAGTTCTGGAAAAGTAGAAGACACAGCCCAATATCTGCTTTTCATAAAGTTTGTATGGATCTACCTTAGCTGTTCTGTGGTTTTCAGTAAAGTAGTCACTTGTGCTTATATACATCAAGTATTTTTTCACCTCATCTTCAATATCCTGTTAAGGATGAGTAGTATTGCAAGGCCCGCTTTTTAGGTTTTGTTTTTTTTTTTTTTTTTTCATGTACTGGGGATCAAGCCCAGTGCCTCATGCATGCGAGGCAAGCACTCTACCGCTGAGCCACAACCCTAGCCCACAAGGCCCCACTTTTTAGACAGAAATACAGAGGCTCACAGTTGTACATCCTTTAGAGCCAAGGTTAAACTTCTGTGTCCCTCAAGTTTTGGTTCTTACTCCTCAGCCATAAGCCCTACTGTCCGCTTACTCTAAACACCCAGAGCAGGGAGATCAGTCTGAACTTCCCAGCAAAGGATGATATTTCCAAGAAAACATATTTTTAAAAGAAAAAGCAGTTGAATCACAAATGTGTGAATGAGAAATAACTGAAGGGTGTATTTTTAAATTCCATTCAGAATTTCCCATTAAGATGGCCTTCACTCTGATCCTACTTGAAAGTATTTTTACCTTTACACATCCCTATGAGTTTTAGGAAAGCAGAGGTAAGAAATCTTTCATGGAAGGATCTAAACATCTAGAATTTACCCAAGAGGCTGAAACAGCTTCTTCTGAGCTTTTTCAGTCTCCTGGGGACATGTGTAATTAGACCAAAAACAAAACAAAACACGTTGGCCAGGCCTGGGAGACACAATTTCAATCTCCCGGGTAAGTACTACCATTAGGCAGGTTTTTCAGAAGCATAATTAAGAAAAAAACTTTGTCCCCCAAGGGACAAGAATGGCTACTTTTGTCTAATTATGCAGTAGGGATCAGAGCTATTCACAGTGAAAGTCCTGTTAAAAGAATGTATTAGAAAGGATAAGAGGAGTAGTCCCTGCAGCACTGTATAAAGACTGAATGTTTACTCAACCTTTTCCAGCCTTTTAAAACAAAAACAGCAGCCTCATTTCTTGCTTGTCTACTATCATTCCCATTTTCCATGGAAACTGTTTTTCAGTTACTCAAATGTAAAAAATTAAAGTTGCACCAAAACCAATAAAACTCTTCTTGCTGCAGGAGATCAGAATGCCAGCAGATATGCCTCCTCACCCAGAATTCATAACAATAAAAATTGTCCTGATTTGATTGCCAGGATTCAGCCTGGAGGGGCATCATGTCATTGAGTTCTAAGGCCCTCAAGATGGGACCTGTAAGGAGACTGGATAGCCTCAAAGCAAAACCATTCTCCTGTGAACCGATTAATGACATTTTATTTTGTGACGCCTTTTATTTCTTTCCTCTTTCATTTCCCTGAAGTTCCTTAGTAAGTTCATAATCTCATATTAGAGAGTAAGTAGTAGAGTTCCATCAAACCCAATCAGCTAGATCAAATGTGCCCCAGCATTAACGTAGACCTTCCATTTCCAGAACATTTATGTCCTTTGCTTAGAAGATAGAAGTTTTTGAACTGAAAGTGGATCCAGGGTCTCTGCTGCTTTGTTCTTTTACCCCGAGAATCTTAACCTCAACCCCAATAAAATGGGACTTCATTCATCCTTTCCTATTGAAAAGAAGGAGGCCCTTGGATGACCCTCATTCAAGATCAACTAGTGGCTGAGATGCTGGTGAAAGTCACCATGGGGCTCCTTTTCACTGCCTGATGGGCCAGTTGGGAGATCCTGCCGAGCGAGGTAGTGACAATGCTTAAGTAGAAGGGACTGTGCTTCACCCTAGTCAGCTCTAAACAAAAGGATTGCAGGAAGCTTAATGTTCCTGTTGGCTTGCAGCATTAATGCCCTTTGTAAGCTAGGTGGCAATGGTTGAAGAAAGACTTTAAACATAGTCAGCAGATACAGTATAACTTTAGGATTCTGTCATTGCCTATTTTTTCCTAACAGGTAGACTTTAGAATTTGAATGGCAGCTGCTCAAGTTACTTTAGCTGTCTTCATTTCAAGTTTAAACAACTAACCTTTAGAGTATGGTTATGTTTTATAATTGCTATTGTAGCTTTTCATGCTCTGTGTAATTCTGTTCAGGTCTCTGGTTATACAGCAGTACTGCTAAAGAAAACAACTTCAGTAGCAGTCAGCCCAGAGCTATTATTGCTCTGACGACAGTAGTGCTTGTGTTTTACAGTATGCCCTGGAGCGTTTGAAGGTCATGTGTGAGGATGCCCTCTGCAGTAACCTCTCAGTGGAAAATGCCGCAGAAATTCTCATCCTGGCTGACCTCCACAGCGCAGATCAGTTGAAATCTCAGGCAGTGGATTTCATCAACTAGTGAGTTGGCATCTTCAAAGTTCCTCTTTCAGAATAATTGGGATAGCTAAAGAAATGAGAAAGACTTTGAATTAGTGAGTAAAACAGGCAAGTAGCTTCGTTAACCTTTTTGGTAGTAAGTATAGAGTTCTCATCTTTTCCTTCAGCTTTATAATGTGGAAAAATAGTTTGCTTTCATGGATTGAATCCTATTGGTAAGTTAAGTGTTTTACTTCCAAATACTGAATGGAATTGATGAAAATGATCATTTGCTTCCTGAAAAGCTGTGTGCCCACAGATGATAGCATCTTTACTTCACCTTCACTGACTTAATAAAAGACATAGATTTCTGGGAGAATAGAAGCATATTTTTTAATGAATTAGTAAAATGTATCTATTGTGGAATGGGAAAAAGAGAAGGGATGATCGGTAGCTGAGACGTAAATATTCTGTTTGGAGAAACATTCAACTAGATGTGTTTTTTTTTTATTCTAAGTGACAGGTGACCTGGCCATAGTGCTTTTGAAAAACTTCAAAGGGGCCACAAGAAGTAGTGACTGCAGCCCGTCTTCTCAGAGGGGAAAATTCTATTCCCTTGCCTGATGGGAAGCAAAGTTAGGGTGGGGAGGCCCTCGTAACAGTAGCTCTGGGGTGGGACAGGTCAGAGACATTCCAGGTAGATGAACAAACAATATTTAAAATTAAAAAATGCCCAAATAAAGGAAGTAAGGTCCTCTAGGTGTAGTTTTTGTGTGTGTGCTGGGGATTCAACCCAGGAGCACTTAACCACTGAACCACATCCCCAGCCCTTTTTTGTATTTTATTTAAAGACAGAGTCTTACTGAGTTGCTTAGGGTTTCACAGTGGCTGAGGCTAGTTTTAAACTCGTGATCCTCCTGCCTCAGCCTCTCAAGCTGCTGGAATTACAGGCATGTGCCACCATACCCAGCATAAGATTATTTCTAAGTGGGAGGGAGGAAACCAATAAATGTTAGTACTATTGAGTGTTCACTATGTACTAGATTCACTATGTACTAGGTGTTTTTTTATAAATTAATTCAACCATTGAATGAAAAGTGGTTTATTATTCTCTCTTTTTTGACAAATAGGTAGGCTCCAAACTATGATCTGCCCTGAGGTTACAGACCAGCCAGGTGGACGCTCAGAGCTGTCTGTCTGAGGCAACCCTTGCTTCTCTCCTTATTAACGTCATTAGTGAATGTAAAGAACATTGACAAAGTTAAGAAGAGCTAAATTCCACTTTTTTTTTTTTTTTTTTTTTTTTTGATAGTATAGTGGCTCAAAGTCTTGGTATTCAGAATCACAATAGCCACAGTCTGGTCACCAGTCTGCCACTGTCTACCAAGCAAAGTCTTTCATTAATACCCTTTATACCAAACCTTGGAAAATTAGGCTGTTTAGGTGGCTGTTCATCTGTCTTGTGCTCACTTCCTTTGATAATCCCTCTCTCTCTGCATTTCTCTTAGTCATGCTTCAGATGTCTTGGAGACCTCTGGATGGAAGTCAATGGTAGTGTCACATCCCCACTTGGTGGCTGAAGCATATCGCTCTCTGGCTTCAGCACAGTGCCCTTTCCTGGGACCTCCCCGCAAACGTCTGAAGCAATCCTAAGATCCTGCCTTTTGCAAGACTCCAGATTTTCCAGAAGCAGCAGCCCCTGTTGCTGCCACTGACCACCAGGTAGACAGCGCAATCTGGAGTTTTACTCTGTTGTGGGGAAGAGACTGCATCGTGGCCCCAGACTTTTGAAACAGCACTAAATAACTTGGGGAAGCCGGGGGGAGGGAAAGGCCCAGGACTCGGGGCTACTCAACCTAATGAAAACCCTGTTGCTGCGTCACCATGTTCCCTTTGGCTTGACCAAGTCTGACTCTGGGATTCAGTTTAGGTGCTGGCCCTGAGAACATCCCAGTCATGGTACTTCGGAGAAACCTGCCTGCATCTGACTGAGCAGAACAAATTGTCAGGTGCCTGGAGCAAAAAGGAAAAAGAAGAAAGGAAAAAAAAAAAGGACATTTAGTTTTAAGAGAAGGGAAAAGGAAAGAAGAGTTTTTGCAGAATTTTTCAAAATCAGTTTGTGAATTCTAATAGTATTTATGTTGAGAGAAGCAAATTTTAGTCCTTCCAACTGTGCTGAAGCTTGGATGTTTGTGAAAACTCCTCACCACCACACAAGTATCAGAAGAGCTCTCTCGTTAGCACTTATTTTTTGCAAGAACAGAATACATCCTTTTATCCTCTTATGAAAGTGACAAGCAAAGGCAAAAGGGGAAGAGGTTATTTGATCTGGAAGATAAGTGTTCTGATGATAGTGGCTTTTGCAAAAATCTTTATTGGTGTTGAAAACTGGAAAAAAAAATTCATCCAGAATTCATGCTGTCTTGACAAGAACTATGGTTCTCTGTTTTTAGATATTGTGGAAAATGTTTTTTGGCATTTTTCTCTGATTTTATTTCTCTTCCCTCCCCCTTCCCTTTTTTCTAAAAAACAAAAACAAAAAAAAAAACACAAGAAATCTGAAAACACACAAAACAAAAACAACAAAAAGAAGAGAAGAAAAAAGGAAATTTTATTATTAATGCTGTGTGAAAAAAGTCCCAGCACAGATTGCTCAGCTGTTTGTACCTGACTTGCCACCTGCATAGGAGCCAGTCCTGTTCCTCCTTCTTAGCCCTCTTCCTACAGGGGAGAACTTCCAAATGTTAATTTTTTCTTTTTGAAAATATAAATAATTACTATTTTGTACTGTGTGGTATCTCTGGTCTTTTGTTTTCACTCACCTGGCTTGTCTCTTGAGTCTGAGTTCCTTGCTTAAGGGATTTTGAAGGCCTAGTTTGATCGTTCATCTTGCAGGGATTATGTTTGAAATGTCTAATAAGCAGAAGGGATTTATTTATTTTTCATAATCTCAGGTTTCCATTGTGAGCTATCAGCATTTGCCAATCTTTTGTTCTTGAGTATTGAGAGTCCATATCCTAATGAAGGACCAGGCCCCTACCTCTGCCAAGGCAAGTGATTGTACTGGGCTTTTCTGCATCCTGTATGTTTTAAGACTTAATCCCCAATCTCTTTTCTCCTAACTAAATATTAAAAGATCCAGGGGACACAAATGTGGAGATCAAATAAAGGGAAATTATTGTCTCTTACTGGTCCTGTCATTGACTTGATGTGTTTCCAGAAAAATTGCCTTAACTCCAGTGAGCTCACAAGAATATTCTAGGGTTCCCTGTTAGCCTGCTTCATAGCACTGTTAGGACAAGCAGGATACACGGGAAAATGAATTGGCTATTCTGCCAAGGTTTTTTATTTTTTTTTTTAGTTTCAATGGAGCTTCAACCTATTTAATTTAACATTTCCTTTTGGTGAACTTTAGCCTTTACAAATTTAATTTTCTACTTAGGGTTATGGCTCAATGGTAGAGTTCTTGCCTGGCACAGGTTCGATCCTCAGCACCACATGAAAAATAAATAAATACAATAAAGGTATTGTGTCCATCTACAACTAAAAAAAAACTATTAAAAAGACAAAACATGCATTGCACTTCCCAGGTTCCTCCCTAGGTAACAGCCTGTGTAAGGAAATGCCAAGTTCTCTGTGTGCTAACTGTTGTCCTGTGCCGGCTCAGCCCTGCTTTCCAGATCAGCACTCAGACCCTGAGATCAGGGCAGTTGCAGTCTCCTCTACCTATGTTGTCTCAGATAACTGCACTTGCTCTCTGCATTTCTCAGTTCTCAGTAAACCTTTATCTACAGTATCTCATTTGAACTTCCCAACCACTTGATGAGTTTGGTTGGGCAGGTGATAGATCGCCTCTTCCATTCTATAGCTGGAAGAAGGTGAAACCCAGGGAAGGAACATGCCTAAGGTCACGCAACTATTGAGTGCCAGATCTTCTAATGTCACATCCTGAAGATTACGTAATGAACTGCAGGAAGTTCCATTTCTGGAATGTTAGGTACAAAATTGGAAGTAAGGCTTGCTTCCTCTGGGAATAGCAAGAACAAAGCTTTGGAAAGGTGCCTCTACTGGCCTGTTCTTCAGAGGTTCCAGGAGGTCAAATCAGATTTCTTTCTCTTCATTCACAGAAAGCTCTTGGTGGGGGACTGGTGGGTTTGGGAAGGTATCCTCCGGGGGGTAACAGTCCTAGCACCTAGTTTCTGGTAGGATGAAATTCTCTTCTGGGATCTTGAATATTTATGGAATTTCCAATGTGGACTCTACTATGAGTGTAAAGCTATGAGTATTTCAGGCCAGGTGAAACTGTGTAGTGCTTCTCCCGTGATATTATTTCTGGACATGTTTGTTTTTGTTTTAAATGATACAGTTGAAGCCATCTGGTTATGACAACATCAGAGTCCCAGCATACTGTTCATAAACCTCCCACTGCCACCACCCCTTCCCTTAGCTCCCCCACATCTGAAATTTAATTCAAGTTAACTCCACAATCTGGGGCATGTGCTGTCACTGCAGAGATGTCCGTGCCAGTGGAACAGTTGGAGATTTCAATTCCACAAGGATATGGCTTATTTATCAAAACAGTATTTCAGGCAAGTAGTTTCACAGAACCTTTGGAGTTGCATTTTTGGGTCCAAATAGAGTATCTGGCATCATCGCCGTCTCCCCTCCTCCCCTATTATCAGTCCCCCTATATATGTGGCCATCCATGGCAAAACTTTTCCCATTCCTTGTGTAGATATTAAACCTTTCTGTGTTGTGATTAGGCGGCTCAGATGCCTGTATAGGTTTTGACAGTTTGGGTAAGAGATGCCCCCCTTTTCCTTTTCACTGTAAGGCTGCTGGTCTTTTAGCTTTTAAAGAACTGCTGTTGCTGCTGCATTTTGTTTTTTTTAATTCCAGCCAAGGACATGAAGCTCTTCTTAGACTAGATCTCTGGCTTGTCCACTCTGTGCTTTCACTTTAAAATATAGCTTAAACCTGTTGTGAGATCTCCATATTGTATGAGTCTGTGCAAACGAAAGGAAACAGCTTGTATGTTTATGAGCAGAACAACAAATAGAGGGGGAGTGGAACTGCACTTTGAAACTGACTGTTGCTTTGTTCTGGCCCTTCAACTCCTATAAAAGGAACAACTGAATTCCCCCAACATGGCTGCATTGGATCCTTTGGTTTATCTTTGTCAAAGACAAATTCTTGGCTAGAGCCCAACCTTATTTTCCACAACTAATTATCTTTTTAATCAGCCTGGACCCTGTGTGTTTCCTTTGTCTCATGACTTTTCGCTGAACTCTGCCCTCCATCATTTGGATTCATTTCTCATGACTTGCTGACTAATCTAACATTCAGGTGAGTAGCATTGGGCTGCTCTTTATGTATGTGTGCATGCAAGGTAGATGTGCTTTTCCCTTTTAATTTCGGAGGTGACTGTGCCGCTGTAGATCCTTTGACCCAATAGGTGGACACCTTGTGGAGACAGTAAGCAAGAAAGCAGATGTAGGATGATCAGTCTCTGGGATAATGAGCTGGGAGAACCAGAAGCTCTGACCTCCAAACGAGAACAGAAACTTGAATGTTATTGACTGATGGGATCTCTACGCCACCAAGCCATTAGCAAGATGATCGCGCCCCCTCTGTAAATCCCGTAATGCTAGAGTAGAAAGTGACATCTGGAATGCTGTTTGGTGCTGATTTCTGCAGCTCTGAGAAAAAAAATAAAAAAATTTAGACTTGAGGGAATTCAATACAAGCAAGAGAAATGATTAAGGAGTTGAAGTGGATCAACTCTAGGGGGAAAATAGTATGAAGATAAAGTATCTTCATGTGACTTCAGTATGGGATGTAGCACCAGTACCTGCAGTTGACAGATGTCACAGGCATTCTGAACACTTGAGGGCTTGTCTCATACAGCTCCCCTTCATTCCATTTGTGTGGCTTGGGGAGGTGGTACTGTGAATTCCTCAAGGTCACTCAGCCTGGCTCAGAGCCAAGAAATAACAGAAGGCAAAGGAATTGTAGGCCCAGGGAGCAAAAAGAAGGTGAAAATCCAAGAGCTTTCCTGGCATTGACCTGGACTGGTCCACTAGTAATGCTCAGTTGAAATGGGGAGAGTTTTAACCTCTCAAAACCTTTAAAGGTGAGCTCTTCACAAACAAGGAGAAGGAGGAGCCTCATCTTGTTCACTTCCTGTTCATGTAAACAGACATACAGGGAACTGGGGTGACATACTCAAGGTCACAGATTAAAACTCAGGCCACTGATTGAGCAATTGCGGAGCACTTAGAAGACCCCAGACATTGTCCAAGATTGAGCCTAGGACAGAGGATAGGATTTCTGTTCAACTAACTAATGGAGATGGCAGAAATAAACCAGAAAAGCCACAGAATTGACAGCTGGGAAGAAGCTGTTGAACTTAGCAGTACTCAGTCATTGGTTACTTTAGAGTAGTATTGATCAAATGATAGGGGGAGAATACAAGAATGTGGAGGAAAGCAAACAAATTGAGTAAAAGCTTAGAAATTTGGCGGGGAGAGAGGAAGGGAACCTCTCCAACTTTTAAGGATTTATATATCTAGTCAGTCAATACATTTGTTATTGTCTAGCAATAATGGTGTACAGATTGTTCCATAAATTATGGACACTTTTAATAACTGATACTTGTAGTGAGACTACAAACTCAGTTTATGGAATAATTACATAAGCATGACTATAATCATGAGAAAGAAAACAATCAGGGGCTGGGATTGTGGCTCAGAGGTAAAGTGCTCACCTAGCATGTGTGAGGCATTGGGTTCAATCCTCAGCACCACATGAAAATAAAATATATTGTGTCCACCTATAACTAAAAAAATAAATATTAAGAAAAAATAACTTCAACCCTTACACTATTTTTTAATGTTTTTCTTGTAGTTGTCAATGGATTTTTATTTATGTGCGGTGCTGAGAATCGAACCCAGTGCCTCAAACATTCTAGGCAAGCACTCTACCACTAAGCCACCATCCCAGCCCCACCCCAGCCCCACAGCCCTTACACTACTATTTTGAGAATGGTTTTTGTAAAGACACATTTCTGTCCTTCTTTAACCTATCTACTTTTTGTTTTTTTGGAGTGGGTGGGTAACGGGGGTTGAACTCTGGGACACTCAACCACTGAGCTACATCCCCAGCCCTATTTTGTATTTTATTTAGAGACAGGGTCTCGTTGAGTTGCTTAGCAACTCGCGGTTGCTGAGGCTGGCTTTGAAAACTCTATCCTCCTGCCTCTGCCTCCCAAACTGCTGGGATTACAGGCGTGTGCCACTGCACCTGGCCTAATCTATCCATCTTGTAAAAGTTTACTTCACACTAAGATGTTTTCATGGACCAGGGGTCTGGTTCAGTGATATGCTACTGGAAGTGTACCATTTGGTTCCCCAACATGGAATCCCTGATTGGTAGCTTTGCTAGTTCCCGTGGTGTAAATACTCCCATTATGGATGATTTCAAATCATCAAGGTGACCTTATCAAACAGACATTGGGAGATCTGCACAGTGCGCCATTATCTAGTATATCAAGCATACAGATGCAGTGGATGCAAATGACCTCATGAGCAGAGATAATAGTAAAATGTAAAATTAGGAAGAGATTAATTTTGAATATCTATTACCTTTATTAGTCACATGATAATATAATTTTTAAATGTTTATTTAGTTATAGGTGAACACAGAGTATCTTTATTTTTATGTGGTGCTGAGGATTGAACCCAGTGGCTCACACATACGAGGCAAGCACTTCACCACTGAGCTACAGC